ATTCGCGAAAACTAAACTTACCTGTTCCTCTTGTAGTTTTGGTTTTTGCTGTTCTTCTGGTACAGTTGTAACAATTACTTGTTCCTCTTCGACTGTTGTAATTTCAGTCTGTGGTTTCTTTTCTTTAGGAAGAACAGTGATTGATGGTGTATCAAGAATCAAATGATCAGATTTAAGTGTATAAACACCTTCATCTTCTTCTGGTCGAAGATCTTTTACGACTATTGTATATTTATTATTTTCTACTGTAGTAGTTACACGAAAATCTGGTACAATGCGTTGATCATTATGAAGAAAGACAAATGGTTCTTCAGGTGTGGCATCAAATTGACAAACAATAGTAAGGGTTTCTTTTTCATTAAATTGTGTTTTTGGTATTTGCATTTCTTGTCGGGTGACTGGTTTTGGAGTGACTTCAAGTTTCACCAATGGTTGCTCTTGTTCATTGACAATTATAGTATATTCGCCTTCATCTTCGGGCTTAGCTTTGAGAATTTCTATTGTGGTTGTTGTTGGTGAAATTGGTGTGATTATTACATGTTCAGAAACAGGCAAAGGTACACCATCTTTTAATAGTACAAGGTTTTTACTGATAGGTGTTTCAACAGTTATCGTTAGATTGGTATTTTCTTCGATTCTTTGTACTGGCAGTTCTGCAGGTTGCGTTAGCTAAAATAATACGATTCGATGTAAAAGGGAGTGATTTGAATAGCATGCAAGAGATTAAGAGAGCTCGAAAAAGCGAATAAAGTAGGTGGGAGAGCGAAAGCTTGCTCACGCCTAGGCGTTAACATAGACAAATTAGTTTGGAAGCGTCTTGTTTCTTGCAATATTTTTTTTACAGCGGCGTTTAGCGCGTTTACTTTCTCTAGCTCGAGCGTATTTACTTCGGTAGTTACAATCGATTTTTCTTCTTCTGTAACAATTTGTTCAAAACTAGGTTTTTGATCGGAAACCAGTTCTTTTTCGAGTGTGATAGTTTTCTCTTCAGTAGTTACAGTAGGTGTTTCAACAATGATGTTTTCAATAGACTGATCTGCCACTGGTTTCTCTTCTGTAATAATCGTTTCTTGTTGATAGGTTGTCGTTTCCTCTTTGGTAGGTTTGAACTCAGGTTGTTTTTCAATCACTTCTTCAATAGTCATGGTTGCTGCTTGTTGCTCTTTGATCGTTTCTTTTATTTTAGCCTGCTCTTCAGAAATTGGTATTTTTTCAGTCGGTTTTGGTGTCTCGTCTATTCGAGGAGACATATCTTCTTGAATTTCTTTAACTGTTGGAATAGTTTCGGTTGTGGTTATTTCTTCTGTTGTGATAGTTTGTTCAACAGTTGGCTTTTCAATTGACGTTAACTGTTCTTCAACAGTTTTGATTTCTTCTTCAGGCACCATAGTGGGTACTACTGGGACGATCATTTCTGTCACAAACGTCTCTTCAGTTGTCTTGGTTATCGTTGGTTTTTGTTGTTCAATGATGTCTTCATCTTGAACAGTTTTAATTACCTCTTCAAGAGGTTTTTTTTCAATCCTTTCTTCGACAAGTAAAGTTTGATCAGTTGGATGTTTTGGTTGTTCTTCGACTGGTACTTTCTCTTCTTGAATAACTTCTTTAGTGATCACCGTTTCTTCAATAGTTGTAGTAGGTATGTCAGAGATAATTCCTTCAACTGTAGGTTTCTCCTCGGTTCGCTCATCTATTAACGGTTTTTCTTTTTCTTCTTCAACGACTGTTGTTTTCTGTTCAGTAGGTTTTGTTTCTGGTTTCTCCTCAGTAATTGCAGTTGGTACTGTTGAAGCTTTTTCAATCACTTCCTCTATAGTGGAAGTAGTTTCAATGGGCTTTTTCGGTTGTTCTTCGACTGGTACTTTTGTTTCTTGAATGGTCTCTTCAGTGGTAGTCACTTCTTCGATTACTGCAGTCGTTGGCTTCGGTTTTTCTTCAATGACTTTTTCAGTAAGTTTTTGTGTTTCATCTATTACAGGAGACACATCCTTTTGAATAGTTTCTTCTGTAGTAATAGAAGTTTCTTTATCTGTTGGAATAGTTTCAGTTGTAGTTATCTCCTCTTTTGTAATAATTTCTTCAACAGTTGGTTTTTCAGTTAAGATTAAGTTTTGTTCTTCAACAGTTTTTATTCCTTCCGCAATTGTTGTAGTTACTATGTCAGAGACGAGTTTATCAACTGTAGGCTTTTCTTCTGATGGTTGATATATTAATGGTTTTTCTGTTTCTTCTTCAATAACTGTTGGTATTGATTCAGTAGGTTTTGTTTCTTGTTTTTCTTCAACTTCTGAAGTTGGCACTTTCGGAACTTCTTCTGTAGTAGAAATTGTTTCAGTTGGATATCTCGGTTGTTCTTCTACTGATGCTTTCGTTTCTTGAATGATCTTCTCGGTAGTAGGCACTTCTTCGATAATTGGCGTTGGTGCGATCGGTTTTTCTTCTATAACTGTTTCAGTAGGTTTTGTTGTATCTACTACTGTTGATATTGTCTCTTCTTGTTTAACTTGTACAGAAGTAGGAAAAATTTCTTCGGTAGTCACTGTTTCTGTCACTACTGGTTGTTGTTCGACAATCGTATCTTGAACTAGCGGAGTTATTATTTGCTCTTGTTCCGAAACTGTCTCTTCCGGTGCAAGTGTTTGAGTAGTAGTTTCATCCTCAATAATGGATGTTGTTGATTTTGGCTGTTCAGTAGCTGTTATGGTCTTGTCTTCTATTGTTTCGATAGTCTCTTTGGGTTGTTCCTGAAAATGTACTTTCTTTTCTTCGTACACTTGTTCCGTAGTAGTTATAGTCTCTTTAGTTTCATGCGGAACTTCAGATGGTTTTATCGATGTTTCAGAAAGGATTTGTTCTGTTTTGGATTCTTCTACTGTTTGAATTATGTCTGGTTTCATTGCAGATTTTTCTGCAGCTACATCTTCGGCAACTGGAGCTGGCACTTCAGGGATTTTAACTACTTCTTCTGCTGAAGGTACTATGTCTTTTTGAACAACATCTTCTACAGTAGGCTTTTCGAGAGTAGTCAATTCTTCCTTAGTTGTTGTGATTTGTTCTGATACAGTTGTGGTCGGAACTTCAACTTCAGACGTTTTTTCAACTTGTTGAGTTATCGTTGGTTTTTCTTGTTCACTTGTTAACTTTTCTTCAGTGATAGTAGTTATTTCCTCAATAGGTTTTAATTCAATTTTCTTTTCAACAAGTTCTTCAGTAACTGTAGTAGGTGCTTTTGGAGTTTCTTCTTTCGGCACCGGTTGCTCTTCAATCTTTTCTGTAGGAATTATGTCTTCAATAGTTGAGACTATTTCGATTATGGGTTTTATTTGTTCATCTACCGAAGGTTTTTCTTGTGTAACTTCCTCGACGGTGGAAATTAGTTCTGTTGGTTTTTCTTCCGCAGTTGGAATTTTTTCAATAGTTTTCGGTGTTTCTACTACGGATGGAACTGTATCTTCCGGTATTACTTGTTCTGTAATAGTAGTAGTTTCTTCAGTAATTGCTGTTATTGTTGGTTGTTCAGTGATAGGAGTTTTATATTCTTCTATAACCTCAGTAGTTAGTTTTGATTGCTCTTGATCAGGTACTGTTTCTTTTGATGGCGTTTCTGTGATAATAACAGTCTCAGTAACTGTTGAAATAGTTTCTGTTATTGGTATTTCTTCTTCTTCTGTGACCGGTTGCTCGACAACTGGTTTTTCAATGGAAACGAACGGTTCTTCAATAGTTTTGATTTCTTCTTCAATTGTCGTCGTCTGTGCTTTTGGGATGCTCTCTTCAGCTTTTGTCACTTCTTCAATTGGTTGTGTTTGTGTTGGTTTCTCTTCTTCTACGACTGTCTCTTCTTGAAAAGTAGTAGTCACTTCCTCGATAGGTTTCATTTCAGGTTTCTCTTCGACAACCGTAGTTGGCACTTTCGGTGCTTCTTCAATTACTTCCTCTGTAGTGGAAATTGTTTCAATGGAATATTTTGGTTGTTCTTCAACGGGTACTTTTTTTTCTTGAATAACTTCTTCAGTGATGATCGTTTCTTCAATAGTTGCTGTTTGAGTTTTTGGTTTTTCTTTGACAAATTCTTCAATAGTGATAGCCTCTTCAACGATTGGTCCTTCTTCAATATCTTCTGTAGTAGTAAGACTTTCTTTAACTGTTGGAATAGTTTCAGTTGTAGTTACTTCTTCTTTAGTAATAGTTTCAACAACAGTCGTAGCTGGTACGTCAAAAACGATTTTTTCAATTGTAGACTTTTCTTCGGTTGGTTGATCTATTAATGGTTTTTCTTTTATTGCTTCTTCCTCAACAATTGTTTTTATTTGTTCAGTAGACTTTGTTTTTGGTTTCTCTTCGACAATTGCAATTGGTACTTTCGGAGCTTCTTCAATTACTTTCTCTGTTGTGGGAATTGTTTCAGTTGAATATTTCGGTTGCTCTTCGATTGGTACTTTCATTGCTTGAATGACTTCCTCAGTGGTAGTCACTTCTTCAACTACTGTAGTTGTTGGCTTCGGTTTTTCTTCAATGACTTTTTCAGTAGTAGTAACTTCTTCAACAATTGGTATTTTTTCAGTAGGTTTTTCTGTCTTCTCGATGATAGGAGAAATATCCTTTTGAATGACTTCTTCTGTAGTAGTAGGAGTTTCTTTAATCGTCGGAATAGTTTCAGTTATGGTTACTTCTTCTGTTGTAATAGTTTCTTCAATAGCTGGTTTTTCGGGTGAAATTAACTGTTCTTCAACAGTTTTAGTTGGTATGTCAGAAATAATTTTTTCAACTCTAAGCTTCTCTTCAATTCGTTCATCTGTTATTGGTTTTTCTTTTTCTTTTATTGTTTCTTCTTCAACGACTGTTGTTATCTGTTCAGTAGGTTTTGTTTCTGATTTCTCTTCGACTACTGTAATTGGCACTTCCGAAGTTTCCTCAATAACTTCCTCTGTAGTAGAAGCCGTTTCAGTTGGATATTTCGGTTGTTCTTTAACTGGTACTTTCTCTTCTTGAATAACTTCTTCAGTGATGATCGTTTCTTCAATATTTGTTGTAGGCGTTTTCGGTTTTTCTTCGATAAACTCTTTAGTAGTAGCGACTTCTTCTGTAGTAGTAGGAGTTTCTTTAATCGTCGGAATAGTTTCAGTTATGGTTACTTCTTCTGTTGTGACAATTTCTTGAACAGTAGGTTTTTCTTCAATTCGTTCATCTGTTATTGGCTTTTCTTTTTCTGTTATTGTTTCCTCTTTAACAATTGTTGTTATCTGTTCAGTAGGTTTTGTTTCTGATTTCTCTTCGACAATTGTAGTTGGCACTTTTAGAGCTTCTTCAATTACTTCCTCTGTTGTGGAAGTAGGTTGAATGGGCTGTTCCGGTTGTTCTTCGACTGGTACTTTTGTTTCTTGAATGATCTCCTCAATGGTAGTCACTTCTTCGGTTACTGTAGTCGCCGGCTTCGGGTTTTCTTCAATGACTTCTTCAATAATTGGTCTTTTTTCAGTAGGTTTTTGTATCTCCTCTATGACAGGAGAAACATCTTTTTGAATGACTTCTTCTATAGTAGTAGGGGTTTCTTTAACTATCGGAATAGTTTCGGTTGTGGTTACTTCATCGGTGATGATAGTTTGTTCAACAGTTGGTTGTTCAATTGAAGGTAACTGCTGTTCTTCAACAGTTTTTATTTTTTTTTGAACTGTCGTAGTTGACACTTCAGGGAGTGTCTCTGATAGTTTTGGAATTTCTTGTTTTGGTTGTTCTACGGCAGGTGCCTCTTCCTTTTGTCGTATTTCTTCAATAACTGTTACAGTTTCTTCGGAAACTTTTGGTTGTTCTATGATAAGTTTGTGTTCTTCAGTAAGCTCTTCTATGCGAGGAGTAGTGTCTGTTATTATTTTTGTTTCCTCCTCTTTGATTATTGTTTGTTCAACTGTTGGTTTTTCAAGTTCAGGCTTCTTATCTAATGGTGTCTCGATAATCTGTTCAGTTGTAGTTATTATTTCTTGTTGTTCTTCCAATTTGCGCACAGTATCAATAGGTATTTCTGGTTGTTTTTGTTCGATTGAGACGGTAGTTTCAATCTGTTTTTCAGTTGGTATCGTTTCTTGTTCAGTAGTCACGACAGGACTTATTTGTTCCTGTGAAGTCGTGATATCAGTAGTAGGTATAGTCTGTAAATTCAAAGATTGTATCGTTTTCATTGTCTGAAATTTTACCTTTTCATCTAGCTTGTCGATATGTTTTGTAACTTCAGGTATCTGAGGTTTCGTCTCGTATACTTGTTGATCCTCGTTAGTAGGCTTTTCTTCATTTATGACCTCTGGAGTTGTCCGTGGTTTTTCGATCGATTTTTTCTGTTCAACAATTTCGATTACGGATGGCTAAAAGTATTTTTTTTATGTTTTTTTTTTCCGAAAAAAAGAAAACCAAGTTTGTTCTTCGAAATTTGAATGCGTATCTCATTTTATATTTTATAACATGCGTTTATCTCTTTATAAAGCAATATGGAACGGGTTTTTTTCTTGCAAAACATACTTGTTCAACAGGTTTTTTCAATAGTAGAAGTTTTTCTTTCATCAATTACGATCGTTTTAGTTGTCGAAATTGGCTAAAATAAATAATTGTGTTTGTTTCCATAGAATTGAATATTTTTTGTCTTATACGTTGTGTTTTAATTATTTTATATGTTTTAATTAAACGCAAAAAATGACGTTTTTTTTTTACGTAAATGATAGTCATAGCGAATGACTATATCGAAATGGTAATGAACGCATTTTTTTTAATGATATTCACAGCACACAGTGGAAAACGCACAACATGACAAATTAAACTTACTTGTTCCTCTGTTTTTGGTTTAGTCGATGATATATCGGTTGTAACTTGTGGTAAAGGTTGTTCTTCGACTTGAGTCGTTGTTGTAACAGGTTGTTCTGGTTGAGTTTCAACAGAAGGTTTTGGTCGTTCGACAGGAGTAACAATTGGCTGAAAAAAAAACGAAGGATTTTATATTTATATGTAATGAATGAAATAAAATCAAATATTTACCTGCTCAATGATTTGTTCTTGTTGTTCAGTTACAGTTAATTTTGGTTGTGGTTGAGTTTCTTCAACAGTTGTTGTTTTAACTTCCACAACTTGTTCAACTGGAACTGGTTGCTAAAAAAAAGGAGGCAAAGAATAATTTATTAATGTATTAATTTTTATGTTACTTGAGTTTGAACAATAATTTCTTCTTTCGTTGGTTCAGGTTTAACAACTGGTGCACTAACTATAACTGATGGTTCTTGTTCTTGTTGTTCAATTGTTGTTGTTGTCGTTATTGTTTCATCTGGTTTCTTCGCTTTTGATTCAATTACAGCGGTAGGTGCTGGTACTTGTTCTAATGGTTGTTCTTTTATTTTTATTTCTTCAACTTTATCAGCAACCGTTACACTTGGCTAAAACAAAACAAATCATAATTAGTAAAACAAAAAAAAAAGAAGCTGTTAGCACAATTCCTACGAGATTAAAATATGAAGTCATAATATAGCTGATGTTACTAATCGCAAAGAAGATTGTTTTATTCTATCTATTTTCGAACATATTTCTTCACTACTTGATCCTTCAGAAATGCAATAAGGAAGTAGCTCATATATTAGAATGAAACGTTATTCATATAGATCCATAATCGTATACTAGGATCTGTGACGGTCTCTTCTTAGCGCCTGTGACATTGATGTCCATGACGGCGAAGAATCTGTCGCTGCCGCGATGGTATTCAAAAAAATGTTTCGATTTTCAAGACCGTGGCTAGTTTCAACTAGAACTGCTGCTGCTAATCGACCAGATTTGCTAAGTTTTACAGTATCACATACATGAACACCGAGATTCTGTGCAAACTCATGTGTTTCTGAAATTTCTTTCTAAAAAAACTGCCGCCGATGCGACGCCACCACCACGATGGCAGCGGTGTCCAAATTTGTACCTCTATACTTCAATACTCCATTTAGATCAATCTGTACAAAAAGACTATCTTCTATTATAATCTAACCTGCATAGTTACTGTTGTTTCATCACGTTGAATTTGAACAGTTGGTTGTTGTTGTGGTTGTTGTTTAGGTAAGATATGAATAAATGGTGTATCCAATATTAAATATTTACTTTCAAGTGAATAAACACCTTGATCAGATAATTTTAAATCTTTAATAATTAATGTAAATGTTTCATTTTTTTGTTTAATAATTATTCTTGAATCATTATATAAAATTGAACCATCTTTTGTCCAAATAAATTCTGTATTTGGTTTTGAATCAAATTTACATTCAATAGTTAATGTTTCATTTTCAATAAATGTATCTTGTGGTAAATTCATAATTTGTCTTTGTATTGGTTTTTGACGTACATTTAATTGCATAATTGGTTGAATTTGATCACGTATTTTAATTGAATAAAAACCATTATCAATTAATTCAACAGGTGAAAATTTAATATCAATTGTTGTTGGTGATGTTGTTTCAGTATGAATATTCTTTGATGGTATTAATGGTTGATTATTTTTAAATAATTTGATATCAGATAAATGAACATTTGAAGGTTTTTCAACAGTTAAATGCATCATATCACCTTCAGTTACTTCATGAACAGGTATATTTTCATCAACAGGTTGAAATTCTTCGACTGGTTGTGTTTCACTAAAAATTTAAAAAAAAATATTTTTTTTCATATATATTGAAGAACACAAAAAAAATATAAATTCAACATACACTAATTGTTCTTTAGGTTTTTTCATATCAATTGTAACAGATGATTTTCGAATAACTTCTTGTGCTGGACGAATTTCTTCTTCAGTTGGTTTTGGTCCTGGTTTAGGTATAACTTTAATTTCAGGTGTTTTAACTGTTAAATTAGGTGTACGCATCTCATAAACTCCACTATCTTCTACTTGTAAATTATATATTTCAAATGTATGTGTACGAGTAATACGATCAATAGTTAATTTATGTCTTGGACTTGTATCAATTGGTATAAACATTTCATTTTTATACCATTTAGGTATTTCAGTTATTTGATCTTTTTCATCAAAATCAACTTTAAATAAAATTGATTCACCAACATTAAATGTTGTTTGTGGTATATCAAGAGTTTTTTCTTTTATTGCTCGTGGTTCAACATAAAGTGTAACTAAATGTTTAGGTGTTGGAGCACCTTCTACTTGATATTCATATTTACCAGAATCTGATACACGTAGATTAAGTAATGATACAGTATAATTACCAGGTGATACACGATGAACAATAATTGATGAACGTTTTTTCGTATCAATTGGTACACCATCATGTATTAAACGAATTTGATTTGGTTTTACATCAAGTGTACTAACAACTTTTAATTGTATTGAATCACCTTCTTGAACTCGTTGTATATTTTCACGAGATATTGGTGAAGCTAATACAAAAAAAAACAATAATCAGTTATATCATATTTCTTGTTTTTTTGTTCTCATTAAATTTTTTTCTTTGGAAAAAAAACTAATACAGTAAAAACTTTCTATAATGGAACTTAGAGATATGCGGGATCAATCTTCAGTTCTGAAATCGAAATCAAAGTTTTTCGGGACGGAGACTACGAGAAAAAAATGTTTTTCCAATCAAAACATAACTCAAGAGACATGATCCCAAAAAAAAGTAATAGTTATCGACCAAATCAATCAAAACATGAGTATGAAAGAATTCTTTTTTGTAGATGTAATACGAATAAGTTCTAGCATAGTTTTCTCTAGGTCAAAACCAAGATCAGTTCCGGGACCGGATTTACTGAGACTATAAAGAACCTCCTCCTGCACGTATACATGTTTTCTAGACATTTGAAAAGTGTTAGCAAATAAAAAAAAAATTCGATATTCTCTTTCTATTGATTTCAATTTGAGATGGAATATACGACTTTCTCTTCATTTCAGACAAGCTCAGCCTATTTTTTGCTACAGACATATATTTCTCCTTGTTCTGTATTGTTCGCCTCAACTAGTTCGAGTTTTTCTTTTTCTAACAAAAAAAAATAAGATGCTGAAAATATTTGTTTTTTTTTTTTTGTTTATTAAATTTACATGGAATATTTTGTTGACTGGTAATATCTTCAATAACAACTTGACTTATTCGTCTTTGTGGTTGTTCAGGTTTAAGTTTATATTTATCTTGATCATCTTCAACTTCAGTAACAATATATGGACTTGGTTGTTGATCAATTTGTGGTTGTTCACGTTGAATAACACGTATTAATGGTGTACGAACAATTAAGCCTTTAACTCTTAATTCATATTGTCCTGTATCTTCTGGTTTTAAATGATCAATAATTAATGAATGTTTTCGTCCATTATTTTCTGTTAATAAATGTATATTTGGTGTTGGTTGTAATAGTTGATTATTTTTAAACCATTTTGGTTGATCACCCTTTGGTACTTGTGGAAATTCACATTCAAGTTCAAGACGTTCACCGGTATAAAAAACTTCTTTAGGTAAATCCATATTTTGTATTATTGTTGGTCGTGGTTCAACAATTAATTCAGCTAATGGTACAGATTGACCTTGTACAATAGCTGTATATAAACCATGATCAGGTATTTTAATATCTTCAATTTGTACAGTTATAGAATTTGTTTTATAATCTTTTTTCATATGAACATGTGGTTCATGTGTTATAGGACTTTCTTCATGAAATAATTCTATTTTATTTAATGGTACATCAAAATTTGGTGTTAATTCAAAAGTAACAGTATCACCTAAGAGAATAAATTTAACAAAAAATAATTAAATTGAACAAAAAAAAAAAAGAAAGAAAATTTTACCTTCATGAACAAGTTTTGAACTAACTTGTGGTCGTAATTCTTCGATATTAATTTTTTTCTCAGTAGAAATTACTTTAATTGGTGGTGTACGTAAAATATTATTTGGATTTCGAAGTTCATAAACACCAGCATCACTTATTTGTAAATTAAGAATAGTTAATGAATCACTATTTGTATCTTTTTTCATTACAATACGATCATTTGGAATTATTGGTTGATTATCTTTATACCATTTATAATCTGTATTTATATTTGATTGTGGAAATCGACAATCAATTTTTAATGTTTCATTTTCTTTAAATGTATCTTGTGGTAAATTAATCATTTGTATTTGTAATTCACGTGGTTGAACATCAAGTTTTATTATTGATTGCATATTATCATTAATTACTGCACTATAATCACCAGCATCAATTAAACGTGCATTTGTTATTGTTAAACGAACATCTTTATTTCCAAATTGTTCAAGACGAATATGTTTTCGTGTTTCATTATCAATTGGAATTGGTTGACCATTTTTATATAAATGAACATCATTTATTGTTATTGGTGTTGGAGAACTTATTTTAAGTGTAACATCATCACCTTCTTTTATTGTACAAACTTTTGTTTCAACAGGTGGTAATGGACGATTTGGTGTAATTGTATATGTTATTGTTTCATCAACAATTTCAGTTACATCATGTGGACGTTCGACGACATTTATAAATGGTGTACGAACAATTAATGGACCACTTTGAACTTCGTAAACACCTATGAAAAAGATTTTATGATAATTTTTAAAGATATGTACGAAGTCATACAAAAAAATCGTAGTGTTAGAAATCTCATGCCAACGATGAAACCTCTTTAGCTCCTTCCATGCGATTTCAATGATTTTTTTTTTGCCTATAGATACTACATGGTGTTCTAATAAATACTCTAAAAGGATATGGATGCTTATTCATATTTGATTAAGCTATTGATATCAATTTTCAAGAGATATTAGGTTTTCGAAAAATTTCTATTGTAGAATTTTGATCTGAAACTTTGTACATATAGAGAACTCAACGAGATTAACTTTCATAAAAAAATTCAAAAGTTTTGAATAAAGTTTCTTCAAAATATGAAGCTTTCAAAAAATTCATATTGTATACATCAGAAGCGTCTATGGTAATGCTGCCGCTGTGGCAGTGTCGGCAGCAGCATTTTTAGAAAGAAATTACCAAAATATATGAATTTGCATAGAATCTCAGTGTTCACATATGTGATACTGTAAGACTTAGTAAATCTGGTCGATTAAAAGCAGCAGTTCTAGTTCAAATCAGTCCTGATCTTAAAAATCGAAACATTTTTAAAAAATACCATCGCATGTGAGTTGCATAGAAGAAAATTAATATTTAATTTAGTTGATAATTTTCAATTAACTTACCAGCATCATCTAATCGTAAATCTCGTACAATTAAAGTAACTCGATTTCCAATAGTTTCAATTGATACTCGTTCATTATTTCGAAGTAGAATATTATCTTTTGTCCAACGTGGTTGTTCTGTTGGTTCATTTGTAAATTCTAAATCAAGTGTAACTGTATCACCAATATAAAATGTATCTTGTTCAAGTTGCATTTGTTGAATTTCAGGTTGACGTGGTTCAACAACAATTTGTGCTAATGGATGAATATCATTTTGAATTTGTACACTATATAATGCTGAATCATCAAGTCCTAATGTTTGTAATATAATACGAAGTTTATCATCTTCTCGTTTAATCGATGTCTAAAAGAGAAAGAAAAAAAAATCAAACAATAGAATTAAGTTATTTAAATGAGAAATAATTAAAGAGCAAACTCGATAGTATATTTGAAATCTGCGTCGAATCCTATATGTTTTAGTTATAAATATTTCCGATGAAAAATTCACCTGTGCCCATTTTTTCTAAGATTTTGTCTCTATAGTCTCGCAGGGATCGATTTTTCGTAGAAAAAAATTTTTCTTAAAACATATGATTCGATGAAGTTTTCAAATATTTCATCTATTTCGCTTTTAAATTGAACCATGGTAATAGCAATCGTTTAATACAGGTGCATTTTTCATTGTTTTTATCTGGCGTTGCCACCGAATTTAAATTTCTCAACAATAAAACAGAATGTAAGAAAAAACCCTACATAAGTACTTTTGTAGCTCACAATCTTGTAATTCTAATCAGATAAGACACTTACTTCTATCTCAACTAGATAGTTGTACAAATTCATCAATTATGTACAAATAAACGAGGAAAAAGCAAAAACTCGCTTGGATAATTACCTTTGGTTTTTGTGAAGGTACTATTGGTTTCCCATTTTTTAATAATTGAATATCTTGTGGTCTAACATTTGTTTGTAAACCTTCAACTGATAATGTAACTGTATCACCTTCTCGAACATTTTGTACAGGTATATCCGGTTGTTCTCGTTTAGGTATAACATAAATCATAGGTGCTCGTGCTATAACTGGACCAATACGAACTTCATAAACACCTGAATCTGTACGTTTAGCATTACGTATAACAATAGTTAATGTATTATTTTCATCAATTAATTGTATATTTTCATTTGGATGTATTAAATGTCCATCTTTAAACCAATTTGCAATTGGACCTGGTCGTTGTGGAAATGTACATGCTAAACGTATTGTTTCACCTTCTTCAAATGTATTTCGATCTAAATCAAGTAAAAATACATCTGGTTGTCGTTCTTTAACATCAAGTAAACATATTGATGTACGTTGTCCTTGAATATCAATTTCATATAAACCACGATCATTTAATGATAAATTTTTTAATTCTAAGTTAAATTCTTTACCATCAAACCATTTATTTATTTCAGGTTTATTTATTATTGGACGATTATCTTTTAATACTGTTATTTGATTAAGTAAATCATCTGGTGAAATTTGTTGATAATCCTTTTGATCAATATTAACATCGATTTGAAGACTATCACCTTCAGTTACTGTACGTAATGGTGCTGGTTGAGTAGGTCTTTCAATAATACGAACAAATGGAGTTTCAACAATAAGATAATCACTACGTAATTCATAGATACCTTAAGAGAGAAATATAATAAATAAACAAAAAAAGAAAGATTTCAAATGAAATACCTTCATCACTAAAATCAACATTTTTAATTGTTATTGAATATTTTGTTGGACCATCTTTTATTGAACTTTCAACATTAATTAAATAATGATTAGACGGTTGTATTGGACGACCATTTTTAAACCACGTTGGTAAAAGATTTTTTGTTTTTATTGGTCGTTCAAATTTACATTCAAGTGTTATTGTTTCATGTAAATAAAATTCATCTTTTGGTAATGTTATAAATTGTCGTTGTATTGGACGTTTTTTAACAGATAAATCAAGTAAATCTTGTCGAATTTGATTATTTATTTCAATTGAATAAACACCTGAGTCTTTTAGATCAACATCAACTAAACGAATAACCCATCGATTCGAATCAATTGATGAAGTATCACGTTCTAATTGTATATGAGAATCATCAACTACAGGTTGATTATTTTTTAATAAACGAAATTGATTTGGTGATGTTAGTCGAAGATCACTGTCAGGTGATACTTCAATTGTTAGAGAATCACCTAAAATAATTTTTAAAAAGTTATTATGTATATTGTGATCGAATTAATATAGATGAATAACTGATTATATTGAACTTTATCTTTAATTTTCATATAGTTTCTATATTTTAATGCTTCGTTTTCAAAATCAAATCATAAAAATCTATCTTTAATGTGTCTGTCGATTATTATATTTATTGTTTTTGTTCTTTCATATTTCAAATAGAAAGATTCTTTTTAGAGTTTATTATCAATTATTTTTAAAAGAAAATCTTCATTCGAAAATGATCATACTTTCAAAAGATCGACATATATATCAGATTAGGCTAAGAGCAATAAACTAAAAAGAAGTGTGGAAATATAAGGGTAGAAATTAGCCCTTCCACAGATTGTCACAGACCACTTACAAAAGAATATTCCCAGGTGTCCATTCACTTTTATGCCGTATCTACCATAAAAAGAGTTCGCGCCTATGACTTGTTTCTCAGGAGATTGAATTATGCTAGCTTGTATAAAAAATTTCAAAATTTTCAGACTTACTCTTTCTGAGATATGACTAGTGCTCATTGGATCCAAGAATTTTTCGAGCTTGATTCGGACACGATGGGCTCTGGATATGGCGCTTTCAAAAAATAACATGTTGTATATGTTATCTATGAAAAAGAGCTTCTACCCCTCAAAAATGTCGCATCAAGAAGAAACTTAGTTCGAAAACTCTGAAATCTTTTATGCGAACTAGTCTTATTTTACGTAGGCAAAGTTTCAGATTGAAATTCGAAAAATATGGTCTCATTGCAGATGTGCGCTCCTACATTTGGAACTCACTAAAAACGTTCAATCTCTTCAAAAACAAACCATGGGCACGAACTTTTGTCACGGTAGACATAGGTCAACAAGATCGTCAGGATGCACTAAGTCTCAGTTCCAAAGCGAACGAACACTTGGGAATGTGTTCCTTCGTTAATAACTCTACAATCTTCATCACAGAACGTGACAGACATAGCCACGTAACTGAACTTTATATTAATTTACAATATACGTAAGTTCATAATCTTGCCATGATAATTCTAATAGCCTTGATTTTTTTGTAAAGATAAACTTGTTGATTAGTTATATTTGAAAAACAATTAATAAATAAAACTTCAACTAACCTTCCATAACTTCTTGTCGTTGAAGAGGAAATAAAGGTTGTACAACACGATCAAAACTTTCATCATCGGTTGACAATCCCGTATCATCAACAACATCAAGATGACATGCACGATATGTAGTTCCCAATGAAATAACATATTTAGTTGAATCTTCTTTTTGTGCATCATGTATTAATAAACATTGAATAGTACCTTCAGATATAACTTCATATTTATTATTTAATTCTGGTCGAATTTCTTGATTTTCACGAAACCATTTAACTGGTACATTTGGTTTATTTAATGTACAACTTATATTAACAACAGGTCCATCTTCTCGTCGTCTCCAAACGAGATATGATTGTGGACCATCAACAAATTGTACAGCAGATTCATGTATTTTAACATCCGAAACAGTTATTAAACGATCTTCAAGACGACATGTATATGTACCTGAATCAAATTTATTAGCATTATTAATAATTAATGTACATGTTTCATCAGCATTAATAATCATTAATGAATTATTTGTTTCTAATGGTATATTTGATTGATCTTTAAACCATTGAACTTTTTTTGGTTTACGATTTGTTTCACATATTAATGTTAATGTATCATGTTCATTTAAACGTATTTGTTTTGGTAATGGTTGAATTAATTGTAATTCACGTTCAAGAATTTTAACATGACATTGTGTTGCAATATTATTTGCATCAATAATACATGTATAAATACCTTCATGATCAATTTTTTGTGCTTTGTCAATTGTTAAACGATGTTCATTCGTTGGTAATGAATCTAATTTTGTTTTCGTTGATAATTTATAACCATTTTTCATCCAACTAACTTGTGTTGGTTTATTTGTACGTGTAACAAGTACAAAATTATCACCTTCTTCACATAAAAATACTTCATCAAGTGGTTGAATAAATTCTAATGTTGATGGGGTTTGTAAAACTTGTAAATTAGCTGTTGATGATTGATTACTTTCAGGAAATGATATTGTATATTGTCCTTGATCAGATAATTCAGGTTGATGAATAAATAATAAATGATGTGTATTATCTGTTGATACTAATTCATATTTTGATGAATTATCAATTGGTTGATTATTAAAAAGCCAAACCGGTTTTTTATCTGTTGGTGTTGTTTCACAATCAAATTGAACCTAACAAAACAAAAAAATTATTAAAAAAAATTCTTACAAGGAAACGATCCGAACTAATACTTGCTGTTTGAGCTCATATTAAGGTCACAAGGAGGTCTCGATAAGATTAGAAAAATTGTAAAAGGATTCATACATATGAGTAGAGCCCATGGTAGTCCAAAAATTTTTGGATCGAACCCGATCGACTCTAAATATGGAACTCTGGAACCGAGACATCACAAATACTCGATGTGATAAAGTTTTATGGCCATAATCTCTTTTCTTGAACGATACTTATCGTGACGAAAATATGATAAGAGCAACGATAAGTAAAAATGATGAGATTATTAACCAAGAAGAAGATAATTATGTTCTGAATTCATTCGATCCAATTCGATGGAATAGTAGCATTACAGGAGTCTCGGTTCGGGCGTAAATTGACCTCATTAACCTTTATAACAAGCCTTATGTCTTTCGTAGTGCTAAGCAGTATGAATTTAGATCATACTATAGTTATAGCGTCCTACTCAGTACTACCGAATGCAGCAAATAGTTAAAAAAAAAACAAGGCTTTTTTTGTGGGGATTAATGAGGTCTATTTAGGACTGGGGTGAAAACTTCGGCCTCCTAAATAGTAACATATATGCGTGTTTTTGTTTAATTGTATTTGTAACAAAATATGTACTTTTATTATGTTGTGCATTTGTTGTATGCAAGAAAATTTAAAATTCTCCTTGGACAATTTACAATTTTACCTGACTCTCACTCTCTATTTTAATTTATCTAGTTGTTTTGATTCAGAAAAAATGAATAAATTATAACAATAAACTAAGAATATATAACTATTTTAGTAATCGTGATTGTTTGTGACCGTGATTTATGGCAGTCACTAATTATGACCATTTCAATGAAGTTTTGATCTTAAATTTCGCCTATAAATAGATAGAATGACTAGTGGAATACCCTGAAAACTTCAACTGAAAAGAATATTTCTTTGTCGAGATACTAAATTTTCAAGTAAACTCGATTTTTGTGGCAAACGACCATTTTCTTTTGGGAAATTTAATATCTTAATAAAGAAACATATTTTTTTTGGCTGAAACTTTCAAGATATTCTACTAGTCATGTAACCTTTTTATAGACGACATTTTAGATCAAAATATCGTTGTTTGACTTTTCGATAAATATCTAAAGCTGGATCATAAATCGACTCCAGAGACCCATCGGCACAAACTCTTTTAGCATTTTTCTAGTTTTACTAATATCTCCTTGTATGTACCGAATATAAGCTCAAACGATAAGTACTCGTTTGAGTAGTTCCATTATTAGAATAATAAAAAAAAATACAAACTTGTTGTTTTTGTCCTAAAATACATCTTTGTGGTTCAAGATGTTTTGTTATAGTAACATATTTATCTTTAACTTGAACATAACATGATGTTAAATCAACTTTTGGATTTGTAGCTAAACGTAAACTATAATAAGCTTGATCCTGTGTTAATTGACAATCATCTATAATTAATGTTTGTTCATTTCCATGTCGTACTAAACGATATTTTTGATTTGGATAAATTTCTTGACCATTTTTATACCATTTAACATCAGGTGCATCACCTTGAAATTGTACATGTAATGTACATGTATCATGTACATATATATTTTGATCTTGTAATGGTTTTATTAAACGACGATCACTTTCTGTCATTAAATTCATTGATACTTGACATTCATTTACAGCTTGTCCATTAGCAATAACACAACGATATAAACCTTGATCATCTGGTGATAAATCATGAATAATTAAGGCAACAACATGATGTTCATTAACTATTTCATGTTTTCGTGATGGAAATATTTCAATACTATTTTTAAACCATTGAATTTGTGTTGGTTTTCGATTAAGTGTACCATCAAGTGTTAATGATCGATCAGTTTGAGGTGAAAATTGAATATTTGAAGGTAATGATTGAGTAAAACGATATTCAGGTTCACGAACTGTTATATGACAAGAAGTTTCAAGTGAATCAGTAACAACACAACGATATCGACCAGTATGGTCAGGTTGAGCACGAGAAATCTTTTTTAGAAAAAAAAGTAAATTAATTTCGAAATTATCAATTGGGATTAAATTATATAATTTTATCGTAATTTAGTTAACATAACGAACGATCTTCAATGTTAGATTTCATGCATAGTACCGGAGTATTTCTATACAATTCATAAAAAATACTTGCCACTAGAAATATGTCCGACTATCGACGAAAAATACTTTTTATTCTAATGAAATTCACTAATATTCATACGATCATGAGATTTATTTATCAACAAAATTTTAGATAAAAAATTCTTTGTTGAGTTTTTGTATTAATAATTTGATCTATAGAAAAAACTCAACACAACTGTTGTAATTCCGTCGAGAAGATCAATGAATACAGATTCATTTTTAGACTAGGTTATTCTAGAGATTCTCTATATATTAGGGATCTGCAAAGCGATCCCGTTGGGACCAAATTTTGATTTTTACGGGATCCGGACTTACAACTTGCTAAACTGGTCTCAGTATAGTTTCTGTTTAAGGACTAGACTATATGTTATCATATTTATAATTTTGTTCTGACTATAAATCTACAAATTGACCCTTTTTTATGATCATGATACAAGCATAGATCTGTAAAATCACTTTTTTCGATCTTGGATCAGAATTGGAATTATCTTAGAGGTTCCTACTAAAAATAGTACCTATAGTTCTGAATATCCTAAATTTGGATACTATCAAAGGACTCTTGAGGAAATATCAATTGATTGATCTGAACCAGAAAGCAATCAAAAAAATTTTAACTGAGACCGAGACCAAAAAAAAGGTGGTCCCACCGTTCCCTACTCAATATGTTTAAAATATGAACTAAAAAATGATGAAATCAAATTGAAGAGTTCCTTCGTTAACAAAATTCAAGTATTTAATTCTATGATTCTATTTAACTAGACATAAACACTCTAAAATAATTTTGTAAAACTTACTTGAAGTACATGTGTACATCCATCGGAAATTGTTCTCATAACTTGATCATATTGACTAATTTCTCTATTATCTTTAAACCATCGAATTTGATATGTTGGTCGATTTGTTCGACATTCAAGCATAAATGGTGAATCAACTTGAATATGTCCTGTATCATCATCTTCTAATAATTTAATAAATTTTAATGTTTTATCTTTATCATCTAATGTTAAATTTGCTGTTGTTATTGTATTATTTAAACAACATGTTATTGTTCCAATATCAGATTCTTGTACATTATTTATTGTTAATTGTATTTCACGATCAATTAATTTTGTTTGATAACGTTCATTTATTGGTAATGGATAACCATTTAAATACCATTGTACAGTTTTAGGAGCTTTGGAACAAACACATGTAAATGTAACTGTATCACCTGAATGTACACGTTGATCTTGAAGTGGTTTTAATATAAGTAATGGTTCAGGTGTTACATTAACATATGTTGTTGATTCAAGATCATTAACAATAACTGTATAAAGACCAGAATCTTCACTACTTGCATCTTTAATAATTAATTTATGTTTTTTATTTTCTGATACTGGAATAAATTTTTGAGGAGCCTAAAATAAAAAAAAAAGGAAAATAAATAAAAAGAAAACCAATTTTTTTTGTTTTAATTATAAATTTACTCGAATCAATTCATTATCTTTTTTCCATATAGCTTGTGTATCCATTTTATTCATTTCACATTCAATAATAATATCACGTCCACCAATAACATCAATTGATGGTGGTAAACGTCGAATAAATTGTAAATCTTCATTAGTTACTTGTACTTGTGCACGTGTCATAGCATTTTGTATTCGACATATATATTCACCATTGTCATCACTTGTAGCATTTGGAACAATAAGAATATGTCTTGTACCTTGTGTTATCATATGATATTTGCCATTTTCATCTAATTTTTTAGCTTGATTAGGTGCTGTTGAATAAATATCAGTTTTAAACCAAGTAGCTTCACTTGATGGTTGAGATGTTTCAACAACAAGTCGTAATGGTTTACCTTGTTCAACACGTGTATCAACTAATGGTTGAGTTATTTGTACCATTGCTAATGTTTCAGTTATTTGTACACGTGATGTACTTAAACCATATGGTTCTTCACGATGAAATATTGGTGTCTGTTTATCATATGTTTCACTATCAAGAAATTGTATACGTTCTTCCGGTATAGATTCTTCACGATATGGTGCATGTTTTAATTCATGACGTGGCATAGTTGGACTAAATAAAGAAATTTGAAATGAAAATTATTTTTTTAAAATATATATAAATCAATGACACTACCTCATTGGTATCTGCATTTCAACAACTTTTCGTTCAGCTGATGTACGTGTTGATGGTTGTCGAGCTGGTGATCGACTTGGTGAAAATGTAACAGATGTACGATGTCGTTGATGTTCATCTTGTTCTTCATAGACAGGTGGCATTTTTGCTGATGGAGTAACATTTGTAAGTGTAATACTTGTTTTACGTGTTGGTGATGGTGATGGAGATTGTGAACTACGATCAATATAATGACTAAATTCTTGTAATTGACTTGATGATTTATATGTTGTCGATGGAGAAAAATGACGTGGCATTGATATACGTTCTCGTTCAGGACTTGTTCCTGATGAATAACCACTACGAATATATTCACGTTGTGGACTTGGACTCGCACTTGGACGAGATTTTGTTGTACCTAAAATAAAAAATTTTTTGTTTGAAGAAATTAAATTTTGTCTATTTTACCTGGTCTAGGTCCTGAAGATACACGTTGTTCACTTGTTTCATGTATTGTAATCTTTTTTGTTCGTCGTGTTTCTTCAAAACGTGGTGATCTACGTCGATCATCATCGCCTAATGATGGTATATAACGAGGAGCTGTTGGACTCACACTTGAACGATAACCACCTAACTCAGGTGTTTGACTTGCACGTGGTGAATCAATTTTCATATATGAACCAAAACGTTCTTCACTACGTGGTGTTCGTTCACGATGAATAACTGTTCGAATTGTTGTCGATGTTGATTTACCTTCTCGTGTTACACATGTATAAACACCTTAAATAAAAATTAAAAAGCAGAAAATTTTTCTTTTTTTCTGGAATTTTCTCTATTAAATATTACCTTCATCATATTCAGTAAATTGTTTGACAATTAATGTTGAATGTTTTTCATCACCAAATGTTCGATATTTATTACTTGTTTGCGTCAATGTTGTACCATCTTTAAACCATTGAAAATATGTTGATTCATATGTTTCACATTCAAGTATTGCATCTTGGCCACGACCAACTTCCATAAATGGTTTTAATGGTGTAAAAAATGCCGCTAAAATATCAATTAAATTTTTTTTTTATATGAAAAGCTTTAAAAAAATTTTTTGTTTTACATTGTTGTTGAGCATCTTCAACAAGTAGTTTACAAGTTGTTGCAACAGATGGATGTTGTGCTATCGAACATAAAACTTCACCTTGATCACGTAAATCCAAATCATCAATATCAAGAGTATGTAACGTTGAATTATTAAAGTTTCCTAAAAAAAAAACAAAAGAAAGAAATGTTTTTATTAAATAATAGTTTATATATAAATATTCAAGAAGTTTCGAATAAATTTAATTATAAAAAATTTTTATTTCGTTAATTATTTAAATAATTCGATATGTTCAATATATCATATCTGTTTTAAAAAAAATTAGTATAAATTTTTTCTATTAGAATACAAATGCATTAGATTAAATTGATGACTCAGATTATTAATATATTCTATCGTAAGAAACGATTATCGATAATTAACTACAACATGATATTGTCATTAGCCTTTTCTCACCCATCTATCATATATTACAAATGGAGCCTATCGAATTAGTCCTTGATCCCGACCGAGTTCGGGATCGAATGAACAGACCATACTCTAAAAGTAACAGTCAATAATGCCTTGATTATTATCAGATCATCATCAAGGTTGTCTGAGAAAAGTGTAGGATGTGTTTTGGAGTGATTATCAGACTCAGACTAAAAATTTTCGTTGACATTAGAGTGTAATTCGAGTCCAAACAAAAGAGGCAATTAGTTTCTCAGCACGTAGAATGGATAAATATATTTTGTTTAGATTACATCGAACAATAGAGTAAACAACTCTTTACAACATAAGATGTCTCCGAGCTCTCTGCGATTTTCTCTAGCCAGTCTTACAGCAGCCCCTAAAGCCGTTTTTTTCCAATTTCTTATAGAAAAATCATTTTTGACCTTCAATCAAATTACTATATCTCAGCCAAAAAACATCACAGAGAACTTGGAGATGTCTCTTTTTGTAGAGAATTATTTACTCGATCATTCTATATAATCTAAACAAAATTATATTTACATACTCTAGGTGCTGAAAAACTAGGATCTTCGTTTTCTGGAATTCCTATCTTTGCGAATTTGATAGTAATTTTTATTTCCTAATTTTCGCACTCACTGTATATTAAAAGCTATAGCTCAAACGCTTCGCGAAAATTCAAACCTGAAGTCTCTGTCATTTTTCTCTCGGGTTCAAAAACGTTACACCCAACACGTTCTCATTACAAACAACAAATTTTTCTATTCTAATTTTCAATATTTAGAATATGTATAATTATAAACAATAATTACCTATTGTATATTTATAACTATTTTCAATAATTTTCTTGCCACGATGTGTCCATATAACTTGACAAGAATTACTTGTTTCACATGATAATTTAACTGTTTCACGTGTATTAGCACGTGCATCCATTAATGGTACAATAAAAACTGGTAATAATGATTCAATAGTAAGTCGAGCTTGTGATGTATTTAATCCAGTTGATGCTGTATATTCTCCATCATCACGTAAATTAACATTACGAATAGTTAATCGATGAATAAGACCATTTGCAAATGATTCTATTTGATATTTATCTGATGGAGCTAAATGTTGAACATTTGATTTAAACCATAACATTTGTTTTAATGGTTTATTAAGTTCACATTCAAAAACAGCATTATTAGATACTGTTAATGAACTTTCTTCAATAATTTGTGAACGTAATGGACGACGAAATATAATTGGTTGTTCTATGAAAGAAATATTTGTAAAAAAGATTTCCTTTTTTTGTTTTTTTTGAGTTTTTACCTTTGACAAATAATTGAGCAGTTGACGTATTTTTATTATCAACACGTATTGAATATTCACCTTCATCATTCATAGCAACTTTTGGTATAATCAATTGACGAATATAACCACGTGATGCAATTAAATGATGTTGTGATGTAACAATCGGTATTCCACGAAACCACCATTCAACTTGAGCATCTTCTTTTGATAATTGACATTCAAAAACGGCTTCATTATTTTCTGTTACTTCAATATTTTCAAGTGGACGTACAAATTCAGCAGCAGGTCCTTGAAACACAAAAAAAATCAAGAATTTTTTATTAGAATATTATTCATATATATATAAGACGTAAGCCGAAAGTTTCTAGACAAATTATTTGACTATTTTTCTCGTATTTAAATGCATACTGATAGTGATTTTTTTTGTGGAAGTAGAATTTTATAAAGTCTATCACAAGAAAAATAGCTAGTTTTTCGATTTTTGTCTTGTCATCGCAAAATGAACCCTCCGTTACAATTCTCCCATTTTTTAGCAGATGAACCAAAACGCTCTATTCTTGCATTATGTTGTAGAGTAGACATCACTCACAAGTACTAGATATATTTTCAGAACTTTTTCTTTTCTCCAACTAAAATGATCGAAAACTAGCAGTGTTTGAAGTCCATAACTCATGCTCTCACGAGGGAACCATTCGAAATAATTCACTACTTTCAACTACATATTTTGTCTATAACTAGGAGAAGTCTAAGAGGATATGAGTCCATGTTACGATTTAGGTGAAATATGGAAGTTTGACGAAAACATCCATATCTCAACCAAATCGCAACCTGGGTCCATATCATCTTAGGCTTCTCCTAGTCATGGGCTAAATATGGAATCAAAAGCGATGAATCACTTCGGACGATTCTCTCATCAGCATTTTTTGAATAAAAAATAATTATAATCAGTAGAAGAATTTTTCATACAAAGAATAATTGTAGCTTGAGATTTCGACAGTTGGAGTTTAATAAAAGTACTAACTAATAATGAAAAGCTCTCATTTCAATGGTATTTAACTGATGACATTTCGAAACTATACCAAAAATCGAAAGAAAATTTGATTTTAACATTCGAAAAAAAAGGCGAGTCTCTTAAATAGTTAAAACTTTCGGCTTATTCCATATTTTTCTTTTCAATATTAACCTTGAACATTAAGATGAAGTGTAACACGATATTTATCTGCTTGACAAACATAATCTCCTTGATCATCTGTTGAGACATTTTTAACAATTAATTCTCTTTGTAAACCATCATCAACACGTTTATATTTATGATTTTCTTCTTGTTTTTCACTAAATAATGCTTGTTCACCTTTATACCAATCAACATAAACATCTGGTCGTTTAACTGCACATGATAATTTAGCTGTTCCATGTTCTTCTGTTGATACTCGAGTTGCTGGTATTGGAATAAAAACACTTTCACGTTCTATATAAATTAAAATTCATTCATAAAACAAAAAAAAAATAAAAGAAAAAACAAACCAAGAATTTGTAAATTTGTTTTTGAATTTGCTGTACCATATTGATTTCGTACTGTAATTTCATATGAACCTGAATCTTGTGGTAAAGCATCCGAAATAACTAATGAATAAGTTCCATTTTGATCCTGAAATACTGAATAACGACCACCTGGCTGAATTTCTTGACTATTTTTATACCTAAAATTATTCAAAAAAAAAAATAATGTTTTAGACATTTGAAATCTATTTTGATATTAACCAAATAGCAGATGGCATGGGTGTTGCTGTAACAGTACATTTCAATGTAACAATATCTCCAGCTTTAGAAATAATTGGCATAAGTGATTGAAGAAAAATTGGTGCTCGACCAATATGTGGTGTTAGTTTATATGCACCAGTTTGATCATATGTCATTTCTGTTATACGTAATTCTTCTTCATTATCAGTTGTATCTTTAAAATAGAAAATAATGATGAAATTTAAATTAAAAACTTTTATCAAACCTTTTTTTGCTTCAGGTGATGAACCTTCACGAATAACTAAATCATCGCGTATTGTTCGTTCATCACTTGTTTCTAATTTAAAAAAATAAAATAAAATATACTCAAAAATTTTTATTAAAATTTATTAATTTACCTTCTCGTACAAATAATTTACAGCTACAAATAACTGTTCCGGCATGATTAGAAATTTTTATTGAATAAACACCTCCATCTTCAACAAAAGCTTCCTAAAAGAAAAGATGATGTTTTTTTGGTTTTCAATATTTCATAAATAATTAAAAGTTCATTTTAACATACTTTAATGTGTATTTGAAAACGTTTATCTTCTTGTATTAATCTACAATCAGCATTATCTTGTAAAGGAATATTATTTTTGAACCATGTAGCATGTACTGGTGTTGTACTAACAACAATACATTCTAATGTGACAAAATCACCCTCTAAAAATAATTTAATTTTAATTTTAATTTGTTTTTTGAATAGGAACGTAACTAGATTAGGACCTGAACTCTCTATCTGTCTCTCCCGTACAAAGTATTTTTCTCGTTACGTTATTAGTTTTTTTGAATAAATCATACCTGTTGCTAATGTATCATTTAATTTTTTCAGAAATTTTGGTTTAAAATCTTCCGTTTCTCCAGCTGTTTGATAACTTGATTCAGTTTCACTTCCAACAGAATAAAAATCTGATGTACCAGATGTTGTCTGTCCTGATGAACGACCACGTTTTTGTTGTTCTAATATCTTTAATAAAAAAAAAATTCATTATTTATCAAAAGAACAAAAATAAAAAGGTGATTAATTGATGTTTACTGTTGATTCTAAAACGTCCATTGTACGTTTTTTTACTGTCGAACGTTTTTGTCGTGTGTCATCTTCAGTTTCAGTTGTCTCAACCATTTCAATTTCTTCGACAAAACCTATTCGAAAAATAATAAAAAAAACAAAAAAAGTAAACATCGACAAGTTCAAATCTAAAGAACTGTTGAAAACATTCTTTGATCTGTTCGAACAATCTTTTTATTCTGTTACTGAACTGCAGTTCTCAAAATAGAACAAAACTTTTCTGACAGTCCACCAAAGAACTTCTCCAAGTGTTAAATCGATTTTCGACTGAGACGTTATTCATTTGATGAATACTAGTGAGTTTGATTTTCCGGATCTTCGTTCTTGCGATATTAAAATTTTATGGGACTTTTCAAGAAAAAGCTGTGGTATCCCTCAGGTAGAATCCATCAGGTCCAAAAAAGTTACTTTCAAGTTTCGACGTCAAACTTTGCACGAAATTAGTTCATTGAACAACTTGTAACTTGTCTAGTATCACCTATTGTAAGATATTGTATATTCGAAATTCTCTCATGCGTAAAAACAAATTTTACTACATTGCTAGAAAAGCGAAAACTTGCCCATTGAATTACTATCATTGAGAAGTTTGTTCATGTAAAATTTGAAGTCGAAAGCCGATTTTCCATGTAACCTGAGGAGGACCACAGCTTTTTTTTGAAAAAACAAACTTGTCAAATTTCGATATCTCAAGAATGAAGATTCAGAAAATCAAATCATTCTAGACTTTTCTATTACTCTCTAGCACTTATCGAATGAACATCATCTCGATCGAAGTGATTTGACACCTGGAGAGGTTTATCTTGTCAGTAGAGCTCATCGGGTTGGTTCCAGATCCGACGAAATCTACTAATCAGTTCCGAGAACTGAAATTTAAACTGAAAACTGATCAACTTCTCGAAGAAAGAAAAGAAGATTTTGCTATTCTAATTTTTTGATAAGAATAAAAATTTGAAAATATAAAATAATAAACTTACCAAGAGACTTAAGATTATCTCTTAATGCTCTAACTAAAGACATTTTTGAAAAAGCATTTCGAGCATGAAATGTAACACGTTCATTATCATTAAATGTTATTTCAAATTTTTTATCATCATCAGGAAAGTTTTCTTGAATAAAAGTTATTTCATTTGTCTAAAGAAATTATTAAAAAAAAAAACTTTCTTTAAAAAAAAAACAAATTCTTTTTTATTTTTTACTTACATTATATGCTTGTTTGAATGCTAATGATCTTGATTCCAATCGACTATCCGCACGTTTACGTCGACATAAAACAATTTTATGACGATACAAATATAAAAATCTTTCACGTAAACGTGTACCAATTTCATTGACTGAATCAAGATCATGATCGGCTGTTTTAATTAAAACCACATCATGACGTTTTAGATCTCCTAATTGTTCATTAGTAAATGGTATATTATCAATAAGTTCAGTTGCATCACGTTGTCGTGCATCATTTATAACATTGCTTATCATTGTATAAGCTTGTTGAAATATTGTACTATCTTCACGCATACGATTTGTATATTTAACCATTTCCTAGAATGATAAAATATTTAAACAAAATTCTTTTTTTTTTTTGTCATTTAATTTTACTTGTAAAATATTTTTATATTTTTCAAGTCGTTGTATAGGTCGATTAAGTAAATTATTAAGTGTTAAATCACTTGATAAACCTAATCGTTGTGTTAATTCATCAAAATAACGTTGAATATTTGGATTTGTTTGTAGTACATGTTCAGATCGTGAACGATCATACATATACTGAGAATAAAGATTTAAAAATTGATCTCGTCGACGTAAAAATACAGAAGCCAATTCCTTTGGCTCATGTTCAATAGCATTAGTTAAGTCATTCAAGAATAGTCTTCAAGAAGAAAACAAACAAACAAACAAATAACAACAATTTATTTTTTATATTTAATACATACACTTTATGGAATGCGAATATGTCTTCGATGTTGCTAAATAAAAGATCTTTTTTTTCTTTGACGAACCACGGGCATTCTTGACGAGTTAATTCATATAGATAAATTTCAATAATACGTTGAAGATCAGCAACATATGATCGTTCGCTCTCGAGGACGTCAGCGAAGACATATCTTATAATTAATAAAAATAAACATTAAACATCCTATGTCATATCTATCATTTCTTAAAAGATATGATGATAAATTTTCTTTTATCAAATTAATATTCTTATTCTATATTCTCAGTAGATTTTTCATAGATAATATAATAATATTAGTTTTTAAGTATAAAATCCCATATAATTATCAGTCTTATTGTATAACAATATGGTATATTAATCGTCGAGAACAGAAAGAAAAAAACAAAAACATGTTTATTGTACTACATAATTACGAGAAAAACAATAGTTTTACGATAATTTCTGATGACATAAAATACTAAGTTGTTTTCTCATTTACAACAAGAATGTCATTATGTTTTCTATTGTTTTGCCTCTAGTGGAAAATGATAAATTTGTCCGAAGACATTTGGATACAAGTAAAGAACAAATGTTTCAAGGATAATTTTATCTTGTGGAATATTTAGATGAAAGGAAATTATTACAATATTTAGATTTGCCAAGTTTATCTAATATTTTCAGGCATAACCTTGATTAACAAATCAGAAACAAATATCTACATTGATTATGTAATCTAGCTTAAAAACAACATTGCTAATCTATCGAACTAACAGAAAAAAAAGACGCTGAATTAGAAATAAATATTGATTCTCTTTGTTTTTAATGATTAACTGAAAGAAAAATCTATTGTTTTTGATCTCTTTGAGAAATACTAGCATTTCCTGCTGATTCGATCAAAACATTCTAACTGATAGGAACTTTACCAAACAAATATAATAATAATTACCTTCGCTTGATGACAGCCTCGTCATATCGACTAGTACTAGTAGCACTTGGTACAGCTTGATCACCTGGTTGAACTTCTCGTGTGCTGCGCCGATTGATCTGTAACAAACGTTCTTGTCGTTGACGTTCATATTCATTATAATCATGAAAATGATGAGGCTGATAAGCTTGTTGGTGCTGTTGTTGTTGTTGTTGTTGTTGCTGTCGACGTCGCTGCTGCTGCCTCTGTTGATATTCAGTTTGTGGTGAAAATTGACGAAATGAATTTAGCGCTATCCCAATACCCGTTGGACTACCTTTCCTCATTTCATCTCGTATAGAATGAGCGCTAGAATAAAATTCTTTACGCCCCTCTGGTGTAAAACTTGATGTTTGACGTCGACTCATATGATGTCGATAGGATGGTTGACGATAAAGACGACAATTTATGCAAGGACAATATTCACAATGACTTTGATATGGACACGGTGATTCTCTTCGTCGATAACTATGATATTCATGCGTTGTTACTGTATGTGTTTGCTCACTTGCACTACGTCGATATCGATTACGGTCAAATATGAATGATGATAAGCTAGCTGGATTCCACGTTGACGACGACATTAATATAGATTACGAGACGAAAAAAACTTCCGAATATGGACTGTTTTGCTATTTTTGTTTCCTTTTATTTTGTTGCCTTTAACTTAACTATTTTATCTTTATACGACAACAACGACTAAGATGCAAACGATGAAGACAACAGTCTTATATTAATACTAACCACCACCCCCCGTTTTCCCTTGTCGACTAATACAAATGCTTCTTCCTTACGCAACCTCACAATGATGATGGCGATAATCGAACGTGTATATATGTTTCAGCCAAAAAATTCTTATGAAACAGAGAAGAGAGCAAGAAAAGCAAGAGAGAATGCTATATCAGGTATAAGAATAACAACATCAACAACGACAGCAGGCACATCATTCTCTGCTAACATCTTTGTCACATCATCGGCTGTTGCTGCTACTGCTTCGTTGCTTTTATTTCTTCTTTCTCTCTTTCTGTTTTCTATTGCTGCTAATATGGTTTTTTGCTATCTTTCTCTTATTGCTTGTCCATAGATAGAGTGCAGGTTGGTTATACAGACGTTGTATACAATTAAGAGAAAAAAAACGATCCATCGTACATTGCCTTGCTTAGTGAATGCCTATAGAAAATGTCATGTTCCTTTCTCGCTTTCTATTCTGTCTCCACCACTTGTTTATCATCTAATCAAAATGAAGAGAAGAAAGATAAATACGTGATGAAACTTACATCAACGATGGGCTATTGATCCATTATTTCCTGATGCGCACGTACCATATTATATACGTATACATATATATGTATATATATATTGCGCGCTAAATATCGACAAATGAAAGATGTGCTTAGTATTCCTAGTAATCTTTTTTCGATTCAATGAATATCATTTTGTTATTAATGTATAGAAAGAATGTAGATACAGTAGTAGTAGTAGTAGTAGCAGCAACAACAACAACAACAACAACAACAATGGTAGCAGTGATATGAGTGAGTAATAGAAAAAAAAAAGAATGAGATATTTAATTTTACGAACCTGTCCTATATTGGTTGATTTCTTCTCAAGAAAACATGCATCAACCCAACCAATTTTTTGTCGTTCATCTTTACGTGGTCGAGTGCGAACAAGATATTGTACGGGATCATGTGAATCGAGCACATCGACAAGTTGATTCTCAGCAAGTGCAATCCCATCAGGACGTGTTGGGACATAATCAGAATTAGCATAATATACTTCGGCTTCCTTAAAACAAAAAAAGTTCATTTTAAATTTTATTTTATTTCGATATGAAAGTTTCTTTTTATTATTATTGTTTAGTAGAAATGATGCCTACGTAAAATCATTGATACTAGATTATTCGAATGAATCATTGAATAGATATTTGCCATATGTAGGGGGACTTCGTTATTGATAAGACACTATCATATATATCAACACATCAGTTAATTGTCAACCATAGAAATTCTTGCTTGTTATCTTTTTCTTCTTTTCTTCTTAATCAGAACTGACAACTGACCCGACAAGATAGGAAATATTATCGTTAACCGCCTACTCTACTATTCAAATTTCTTGTTTATATTTATATGATGATATGTTTCTATATATAGAATATCTGTACAACAAACCTCAGTCATTGTTTTTAAATCATCACTACTTGATGATGAATCTTGTTCTTCTTGACTTATTGGATTATATCGTTTGTCGATACTGCTAGTCACTGCACCGGACTTTTTCGTAAATGTTCGCTTGCTTGAAACAACTAAAATGAAAATATAAATGTTAAAAGTGAATATTTATCTCTATTTTGATGTTTATGCTATCGATAGATATAACTATAACATTGTCACAGAACCTGAATTCAGGATATCTTTCAATCAAACCTTTGAGTTCTTAGTATTTAACTACAAAATGCTTCTAAATGTTCGATCTACGAACTTATTGAAAAATTTTTCATAGACTGTTATAAAAATTGGACAGGTACCTGATACGTATAGATAATTCTCAATAGGATACTCAACCAAGATCCTGTTACATACTCGTAACAGGGTATCCTGCTGACAACTCATCTAGTACACAGTTATCTTGAGCTTAGTACATTCACCAGGAGAATACATTTAAATTGAATAGTATAAAATGATGTATAAGGATCGTACGTAATAAAAGAAACATGTATGATAACTATGTTTCATAAATTTCAATAATAAGTTTTTTTATTTATTTATTTTATTCTTTTTCGATCTGTACAGATTTATCACAACTAATATCTCTTCCTTTTTTTGTTTAATGAAAACATCGATTAGATATTTGTTGCACTCAATGTTAAATAATTGAAATATTTATTTTGTATGAACAGGCGCAAAAGAAGAAAATCATTGTCACGCTCATATATTAAATATTTCGTAATAACTCTCAATCATTGTCAAAAAATCATCACCTTGGAGTAGCACTCAATAAGCATCATAACTTACGAAACCATTTTTTATTCCCAAGGACTTTCTCTTGGAAAATATAGCATCATTTATCATTACGTACGTTAGCTTCTGTTGTACAAATTTAGATATAGATTCTTCTCTCAAGGAAGACACGGCATTTTTTTTAAAGAAGATATCGACAACATACACAACTAAGTCTAAATTATTAACATACTAAACGAATGAGGTGAAATTAAATCTTATGTAACAAATAATTTTCTTTTATTCATTTTAGATGTAAATATAATCATCTCGACAAAAATAATTCAATTAATTCCAATCAGTTATAGTATAATATTTATTATTGGCATTATTCAGTAGATATGTTTTATAAGATTTGCATTCTCAACAAGACTTAATCATGTACAGGCAAGAAATGAACTCTGATAAAAACCAACTATATCATAACAGTAAAATAAACTGAAGAATTTATTTAAATGAAAAAAAAAACTCTAAGATTGTAGGCAGAAGCTGACTGTCAAAAGACGATGTATAGACTTAGGAAACGAGGTTTATCATAATAATTATAAAAAAAGTAATGTTTTCAATTTTTCTGATTTTTGGTAAAATTGACGGAAAAATTTCAAAATCTTATTTCAGCTTTTTCTTTCCTTTGCTAAAATAATTTAGTACTTTGAATAAAAATTATAGATTATTAAAATTCTTCTTAATATCGGTAATATCAACATCAGAATCTCTTCGTTGTGTTTTTTAAAACAATATTAACGATTAGTTTTTAGGATTTCTGATCAAACGTTGAATATGTTTAAAAAAAAATAAGAATAAACATCGATGTCATCATTGAGACTGTTTATCTGAGTTATTTTTATGACTAATAGTGTATACTACATAGATAATTCAAAATATATTACAATTTCTTTCTAATAAAACATCCAAATAATTTACTAGAATTACTTTTATACATCTACTGAGCGTGAACACAAGAGTTTAGAAATTATTGTAAATAATTGAGTAGAACAATTGCATTAATATTTATCGTTTGATGGAAATTTCTACAACATATAATGACTTAGCCTTGGAAACTAGACAATAGCATTTCTCATGCTTAGGTCACTAGTCATAAATGAAAAGATATCAATCAATCGTTTCTGTTTGTAATATTGAGTTACCTTGTTCGACACTACTATAGTTTCCTGTATAAAAGATTATTTTTTGATTATATAATAATTGATTTTCATTGACTTTTAGATGTCAAGAAATGCTGCTCTATGATTTTCAATGCGATAAATCTTACTATTCTAGGATATCTCAATAAAGCTTTCATTTACTAAAATAAACATTTTGTTTATATGGAATAATGTAGTTTGCACTTAGGCAACCTTTGCGTAGGAGGATTTTTTTCATCTGATGTGGAACTAGTAGATACTGTCATTTTTTTTTCTGCTTGTATTATCTTATTAGGAATAAGATATTTAATTAATATTTACAATCTAAGTGTTGTCTAATGCAAAAAAAGCATAATTTCATCATCTTATGAGAAATGTTTTAGCACTTAACTCTTCTTTATATATAATAGAAGAATAACATTCATCTAATTATGTTTCTAATTATACTAATATAAAATCAAAAGATCTAACAAAGAATTTTATTTTTTCTTGAAATTTATTACAATTACCTGTTAGTTATGTTTATTTCTGGTATCAATGTTTCTATAAAACAGCCAATTCTTGAAGAAGAATAATATAATAAGAAAGCTACGCGTTTTGTGTCAGTCTTTGAATGCGTAGTATGTATTCTTGACACTGATCGTTGGTCTTTACATATGAAACAGAAGCATCTACATCTAGCTATTTATGTATTTCTTATTTCTCTGTGTGTACATCATACTCTTTGTTATTATCGTAGGCGTCATAAATACATATTCTCTCGCTATGATCAATCTCCTATTGTGTATAGTTAAATGTAGTATTCATTTTTTTTTTGTTTTTGTTTTTTTTACATTCATTATTATTATCAAAATAAAAAAAAACCTAATGTAATAATACACAATCAGTGTTCCGATTTTTTTAATGTGAAATAATATCTATTTACTATTCGGATAACATTGATAGGAACTTACCCTTTTGTTATCTGCTTATCCGTAAACGGAACAGAAAAAAAGGAAAAAAAAATGTTGATCGATCAAGAAGACGATAAAGATAGTTGAAGACAGATATGTACTGTGGTTTTTTCTTCTTGTTTTTCGTCTCTCGTCAAACAGACAAAAAGGCTTGCAACACGCGTAGTCAATTACTGAAGACAACGTCGACTAGAAGTTCGGCAAACAGCACCAATGGAACTACAATAAGATATCCATCAATTTATATAGATTGGAAACTGTTTCTGTTTCTTGTTTCTCTACTTGATGAAGAGCATACAGAGAAAATAGAAAGAAACAAACGTTAGATATCAGTACCCATTTTCTTTTGGTATCGTATATTTCCTCTTTTTTTTTCTTCTTATGTTACATACATATATACATACGATTTGTAAGAGAATAGCAAGCTAAAGCGAGACCAATGACTAATTTCTCTTTTTTTCTTCATGCACATCAATGATTATAATGGATTTATAAGGAAAACGACAACAACGACCACTACGATATACGCTAGCACTGTGAATATTGAGGTTAACTAAGAGTTAGAAATGGCAAAACAAGAGCATTAATATATCTTCTTTTCCTCTTCCTTTCCTTATGCATCTGTATATGGTGAGCATTTTTCTTTTCCCTAACGATAAGAACGAGTGGGTGGGTCAATATACGCATGTATACATACATAGGCATATAGTTTTGTTTTTGCTGTAATTTTCTATTTATCATGGTGTCAAGATATGTATATGAGTAGAGAAACATCAGAAAGAATTTCTTTGCTTACTCTTATCCATGAATAGTTTATAGACTAAAAAGGCTCTCTTTTTACTCTCAATATAGCGCTAAGCTAGAAAAGAAACAGAAGATTATTTGAAAGATATACTATAAAGCAATAAAATAAGCTATTCAATTTATATAACATAGGAAATAATTGAATGGATAGAATAACCTAATAATTATTGAAAAAAATCTCAATCTTTCAGTTTGTGCTGTTATCAATAAAAATAACAAAAAAAGAAAAAAGGAAAGGAGTACAAAAACTTATGATTATTGTAAGATAAAGATATAAACTTGAGAAAAAAATCAAAGATTTAATTTATATAAAAACTATGAATGTATGGTGACAACTGTTCAAAGTATCAATTTCATTTCTAGATCGTTTATTTTGTCTTATATTTACTTACGTTGTTGATTGCTATCAACATTAGTTAAATCGTAGCTGGTTGGACTAGTATCTGTATCTGGAATCATTTCGAGATAATCAGGAGGTACATAACAAATCTATACAAATAAAATATGGTCAAATACAAGCATTATATCAATTTGAATAATTCATGAACACAAATGACACTTTTTATTGGTATTATAAATTTTTTAAGTTTATTAATCTTCATTAATTTTGAATCTATCATAACAAATCTATACATTTTCTGTTACCGTTAAAGATTTTCTCAGCAAAAACAAAGACTTAGAGTTGTATGAATAACCGAAAAATATTTTTTGTATTCTGACAAAGTTAAGAAGAATATCTTCTATTTTATTGCCTTTTCAAAATCTCTATAAGAAAGATTGTTTTTTCAGATTCTTATTATATCGAGGCACTTCGATGGAATAACTCTTGATAAATATAATTTTTTAATTATCATTATTCAAAAGAAAATACATCGAAATAAAGAGCATTGGTATTGGGTTCTTTTTTGTTATTTTTAAAATTCTCAAAAAAGTAACACTTTTGTTTCGAACAAAAAAACGAAAATAATAAATTTAATAAATCAAACCTGATTTAAATTTTTCTTGTTTCTAACGAGCCATTTATCTCTTTTATCAATATCAATTATTTCAACAATATCACCTTTATTCATAGATGCATCTCGAGCTTCATCACGAAAGTCTTCTTTTAAAATAAAATTTGATAAGAAATATTCCTAGATTAAAAATTAATTAACAAAAACGAAAAAAATTAATAAACATTTTAAATGATTAATAATATTTTACTATATCAGATTGATCTGATAATTTTGATTGACGATGTTGTCGAACATGTTTATCAATAAGTTGTATAGCAATTGATTGAGGATAATCTTCCATCTAATAATAAAATAAAAAAACGTACATTGTATCGAATTGATATACGGAAGTATGATTCAAAATATCGATTGAGTAGGTCAGATCACTTAGACATTTTAGTTTTGTTTAGAAAAAAAGATCGATAATGAAAATAAAAGATTACTCATTTTAACAATAATTTGAAAATTTTCTCTAAGTTCTCATCATATTGAATTAGACCGTCATGGTATGGAATCCGGTTGTACAAGTCGGAATAATTTTAGCCTATAGTATTTATAGTCCCGACCTAAGAACATTTGTTTTGTTTTATCAGATGGTTTAGTTTAATTCAATTGAGTATTAATTTTAAATTATTTTCAATGTTACATTGAACTTTTCTATGCTAACAAATACGACCTTTCAAGGACGTTCCTATGAAACTAAAGTGCGGAATTATATTGAAAATACTAATATCATAAACATAGTTCTAATAATATGTTTGTTATTTTGTAGGTTATTATGAGCTGTCAGTATATGTTTCATAATAGCAACAAACTGTTAATCTCAATAAATTACAGTCCACAAGAGACGAGATGATAATAAGCATTGTAGCTCGTTTCATTCATTGTCAACCGTGACAACCAGACATGTCTGTCATAAAGTTTATGGGAAACGACGGTCTCATTGTCTCACTACAAGCTTCAAGATTCATTATTAATAGTATTCTATGATAACATACAGCATTTGCATCAATATCAGATACATTAGTCGAACGTTCTTCCATTTCTGAACTAGTTGATTCTGGTTCAGTCATTGCTAAAAGTATAGAATAAAATAAATAAACATTATTAATGTATTTGTCATGTTTTTATTTGATGATAAGATGTTCTCCTACCTTCAACACATACAATAAATGTACTATAAACAGCTCCCATCATATTTGTGGCGATACATGAATATTCTCCAGCATCCAAAATAGATATTTTTGGTATTTCAAAATAATTTTCACCACCACGATCATATATGTGATGATAACCATCATCTTCTAATGGTTTACCCAAACGAATCCAGACAACTTGTGGACCAGGATTACCTTTTGTTTTTGTTTATAAAATAATTAAATGAGAAAATGGAAAAAATAACTTCATGAATTTATTTACCGATTACTTTAGCAAATATTTGAAATTGTTCACCTTCATGAACTGTACGATTTGATGGTTTTATAAGAAATTCTGGTGCTTTATATGTTGTTTGACTAAGAAAAAAAGAGCAATTTTGCGAAATTCTTTTAAATAAAGACTTACCGTGCACCATAAGCAACTAGACCTTCAGCTTTTAATCGTTTTATTTTATCAGTATTTTCAATGACTTGAATTTGACATTCTGCACTTATTTTGCCGAATGAATTTTCTGCATGGATTGTATAAAGACCTTGATCAGACATTAAAATTTCACTAATTTCTAAATGATGTACACCACGATCGGAATATATATCAATACGATGATCTTCACGAATATCAACATTATCTTTAGTCCAATGTATCACCGGTTCAGGGTTGCCTTTAAAGAAAAAAAAAGGCATTTATATAATAAATAAGAAGAACAATTCATGAAAAAAGAAAACACGATACCTGTGATTGAGCAACTAATATCAAGATCTTCACCTTCATTTATTCGTATGATGGATGGTAATTTAGTAACAATAGTTGGTTCTTCTTGTTTCTATTTTTAAAGAATAAAATAGTAGATAAAACAAAATATATATTGTTTGTTTTTCTCACGAGTTCAATATTCTGAGAATTTTTTATTGAATTAGAATAATCAACTTGTTTTGAATGTAAAAAAACTGAATTTTCCATTATTCAAATAAAATTCTTTTTCCTATTAGTTTTTCTTCGAACAACTTTATACAATATTATGCAACAAATGGCAATACATATTCACAGTGTTTATATAGGTGTCTAGAAAATAGTATCACAAAGAACGATTGACTTTGAGCTGCCATAAAGATAGCCTATCGTATCATTCATAGTGGCAATGCTATTATATCTTGATCTGTTGGGAAATAAAAATCGGCAATATACATTAATAATGAAGGAGGTGGATGTGGTACTACTACTGATAACCAAAATGGGAGCAATAGAGAATACATCATCTTCTGTTTTTATTTACTTTAATATTTGTCTTCGTTTTTTTTCTCTTTACTTGACATCCCCATCTGCAATTAATCAACCTCATCAAAAAACATGATAAAAAACAACAACAACAGCCATCAAATCAATCGTATAGATGCCAATATGACGTATATATATGTATACATTTGTCTATTTACACTTTAGTTGTAGTATAGCAAGTGTACCAATTGATAAGAAGAAATATTGAAAGAAATCTGAAGGTAAGACTGAAAAATTTATCAATATTAGAGACAATAAATACAAAGATCTAATCTATTTTGTACAACAAAACAAAAAAACGTTTTATCTTAGATCAATTTTCAGATTTCATCTAGCTGATTTTCTTTTTTGGAAATTTTCTATTAGTATATTTAATATGATAGCATTAAGATCTACTTTTAACCTATGTAATAGCCATGTGTTTGACGAATAAAATTGCTCTCTCATTCTAAGAACAGCAGGTGCTGATATACTATTTATAACTCTTTTGCTTCTATATAAAGATAAAAATCGATTAGTTGGGATGAAGATATAATTTATAGATAAACAGTACTATTTAATTAAAGAGTTCATTTGTGCTAAAATGGTTTATATAGTCTTTTGTTTTTTTGTATGAATGTAATACCCAATTTTAATACAGCCAATTTTCAAAACAGCAGCTAGGAAACACGAACAAATATCGTGGAATTGAAATCTTACAAAGATCTTTTCTTTTCTCAATGGTAAAATTGCTATATGTCGAAAATTATAAATCCTTGATGAAAAGTTTTTTCTAAGTTTGGATCAATAGGATGTAATACGACACGCATACACATAGTAAAACAGTGAGGGTGAGAGCAAAATCTATGATTAAAAAAGATTTGGATTTTCGACATTTAGCTATCAAATTTTCCTGATTAAAAGTTTTAAGATTTTTTCTTTTGTACTATATACACTTCGAAGTATCCTCTATCCACTGAACATAGTTCAAAAATTGATATATAACTATAAAATCAAAAAATCAGAAATGATGAAATATTTTTGATGAAAAATGTCAAAGCTTCTTAATTCGCTGTTTTCAGAAAATGAGTTTTTCTCACAAAAAAAAATTGAGAATCATTCCCATTTCTTAACCGCAGTATATCCGACCGAGCTGAAATTTTCTTCTATTTATATTAAAAAGTGTTCAGGGTGCCCACTATATTTTTGTTTATTCAAAATATTATGCATCACTGGTTTCTGTCAGAGTTTGTAAAAAAACAAACATGCATTTGGTGAAGATACAATCAATATTGTAATCTTTTTATACGAATAGAAGGAGATAAAACGACACCAAAAACATTAGGCAAGCCAAAGAATGTATAATATCTTTAAAAACATTCCAACTCTATCAGATGTATTGCAACCGAGAAAACGGATGGGAAGAATTTTAATCTTTGCGTCATCAATATCCCTTAGATGGAAGCATTTAAGAATTTCGAATCTATGACAACTCATTGAGATCTCTTTATCCTGAAGCTTTCAAAATTTTTCAATGAGTTGTTCTCTAAAAGTGCCAGAATGGAAGAAAGAATGAGAATTATCCTAAGGAAAAACTTGCTTGAGATGGAGATGAAAAGAAAAACTTTTATGGTAGCAAATACACGATTTGAAAGTATTATTAGTAAATAAAAGTTGCTAAATTGATTATGGTAAAGATTGTAGAGAAATTTTTTTTTTTGTCATTGTTGTCAAATCGATAGATTATATAATTCATAATGCAATTATTTCTCATATATATGAAAAAGTCATCTAAATAAGTCAACCATTAATTTATTTTTTGTTGTAATAGAATAAGTACATAATAGTGATGGATGTTGTATTTTAAATAAAAAATTAACATGTTTTGTTTTTTTTTCTGAAGTCATTTAACATTCTTCGAACGTATTATTTAGCTAGGTTTTAATGGGTAACATCCTCTCTGAAAATACATATAAAAATCTTTATTGGGATTGCCTATGATTCATTGAATTATCCAATCAAGGTCAGATACTGTTGTGCTTTCTTATATTTATTTGTTACGTAACACATATTTACAAATTATCTAGAATCTTTTTTTTTCACTATTAACGGAGCATAAATTATCTACATCAGCAATGTTACTGATAAAAAAAATAATTCAATTATTCATGATTACTAAATGCACATTAACAAACTGTGTATCATTAGTTTTTGTTCATAACAATGATTGTTTTTAGGAGTTCTAATGGAAAATGTTTGTTAAAAATATTTTAGAATCTATTCTTGATTTTAGATTACTTCGATAAATGTATAATCAATAGTTAAAGAAGATTTTGACAAAAATCAATAACTCACTTCAATTTGAAGTACATCCGATTTATTCTCTTCTATTGGTGCTGTTGTTGTCGTCGTTGGTATTGAGACTTGAGGAAGAATAATACTTTCTTCAGGCTCGACCACATTTGTTATAGTTGGTTCCACTTGTTCAATAGATGATGGTATTTCTTCTGGTTTTTTAATTGATTTTTCTTCTTCTTCTTCTGCTTCTTCTTCTTCCTCTTCATGAACAATCGACGCTATTGGATTAATAAGACTTTCAAGTTCTTCCGTTACTCTAGCCAATTTTGATACGGGTAAATTAATATATCGCAGTGGTGAAACACTTCGATCTGACACACGACTACTTGATGGACTTAATGCTCGACTAGGACTAGTAGTACTACGACTAGGTGATGGTGAATGAGATCGTTTTCTTCCTAAAACAATATTTTATTTAAAGAAAATCATTTCATTACAAAAATAAAATTCAAAATACTTACTTAAAACAGCAAGAAATCCAGTAGTAACTGATGAACCAAATTTATTTGTTGCTACACATCGATATGCACCTTCATCTTCTGCTGTGATATTTCTTATAGTTAGTAAGCAAATTCCTGTTTTACGATTATCATCAATAGAATATTTTTCATTTGATTGAATCTGTTTATCATTGAAAAACCATGCTATTGAATATGGTTCATCTCTATCAGCATTGTCTACATTTTGTACTGTACACGTAAATGTTACATTCTCGTTCTCAAATGCATCTTGAGAAGTAAGACGACGAACAATTTCGGGGGCCGCTAGAAAATCAGCAAAATTCATATTTAAAATTAATTATATTATAAGAAAGCAAAGAGAATTTTTATTAAATTATATTAAAGAAAATTCTCTTTTGTTTCCATTTAAAATTTTATATTGAATAATAATAATAATAATAATAATAATAATAGTAATAATAATGATCTTTGAATATGAATAATTGTAATACTAGCTGGCAGTGATAAATAACGTTAGAGAACGAGTCTGCTTGTCGCGTTTTCTGTACAAATATATGAGGACAACTACCCATGTGGCTTCGAATGTTTTCTTCTTCATTTTCTGTATATATCGGGGGTTGGTGATGATGGTATTAGTGTATGCTGCACATACTCATTCATCCAGTCTCATAATTTCTGCTGTCGTTAGTAAAGATATAAAGAGAAAAATTGCGTTTGTCCCCGTGATAAGACAAAAAAAACAGCGAGAAGAGGAACGATATATGCGTGAGCAATAGTGGCTTACTACCCCCTTCACGAGAGATGATAGAAATAGAAAGTCAACTATTTCCTATCCACACTGATATCGACTTTTCTTTTCTACAAACGAACAAAAACTCTACTATGCTCTCATTATGATACGTTCCATAAATAAATCATTGAGATTAATGATTTGTATATCATCATTGTCGACTCATTGAGACTTTATTATCAAGATTTTATATTCAAGTGAGTATAAGTTTAACTCTACTGTCATGTAATGTAGTATCGTAAATTAGTTTAAATAATAAAAATTTACAATTAGAAAATTCTTTCTATTTAAATTAATTTTAAAAGAAAAAAACAAAAAAGAAAACGTAAACCTAAATTTTCAAAAAGCGAATAATTTTAAAATTGATTTTTATATTACTTTAAGAAAAACTCATTAGTAAATTAATTTCATTAAAAAAATTTTTTTTTGTAATAGATTTGACAAGATATTTTCCAAAATAAATGTCAGCTCGTCTTCAATGTAGTTTTACATGAGTATAAATATAGAAAAGAGAAATAATACAACAACTTTCTCTTATAATCAACCAACTTATATTAGGTTACTAATATCCAACAATAAAATTTTATCTGTAGATTTAGTCCTACGAGTTGGACATCATATTTCAAATGAGATACTAGATCTTGTCTTTCTTTTTTTGAGAAAAAATTTTTTAATTAATTTTTCCTTTATAAAATGATATTTGATTTTAAACTAAAATATTTTTCTTTCGGATCTATTTTTGACGAATTTTTTATCTACTATCGTTGTTTTCTTAGATGGTAAACAGAAGTGTAATATCCATTAGGTGTTTGCGCATGAAGCAAGGCTATTCGAAGAGACACTTCGCGATAGATATTCTCAACAGCTGCAAATAAGTCTTCTTCTGTCCGATTTTTTACTAGGAGGTATAATTAATGTGTTTTGTATAAGATAAGAACAGTTACATCAAAGATATTTTTCTTAATTATAAAGCAATAATTAACATTTCAAGGTTTTATTTGAACTTCTTCAATCTAAGTTTGTTTTTCAAAAACTACAAATCATTTCCTAGATATGCAAAATTGATCTTACGAATTTTAAAAAACATACTAGACATATGTTTTCAAATCTAGTCAATTCATTTAATGGTAGATCAACTGCTTCAGTTCGAAACACAAATGGTTAATACTTTGGTTAATCCGTCTTAAAGAACTCTTTCTATATCAATTATTTGCCAACAGTCATAAACATGTTGACATACACGATAAGCACGACATATGATAATATTGGCAAACTGAGTATACTTCTATGACCATCTTATTGCAATTCCATAGTCTAGATTAAAAGAAACATCTAACATATCTTTCATTATTTGTTCCAAAATGTTTTATCATAAAAAACCAGTAAGGATAAAAAAAAAAAGACAATGTGCAAGACTTATTTAGTCTCGTTGCCGACATTTCTAGCCACTAATCTGAACAATTGATTTATACACTTCTAATAAAACTAGTTAGGGCAACCGATCAATTCGATTTTGAAAAGTTCGTTTTTCTCGGCATAGTCTTATTTTTCTTATGACTCTGATTACACTGTCCCTGTGTACATTTCTATAGGATAATAATAAAAGAGGAAATATGAGAAATCAACTCATTAGTTTCATTGTCATAAAATAAAAATTAAAGAGTGATCCATACAGGTAAAATTTTACTAATATGACTCGTATCGTAAGGATAGCAACAAAAACCTACGAATATCTCATCGATCAAACATGTCTATAATCGTATACATTTAAGTAAAAAAAATTTCCACTGTCTTTTAATAATTAAAATTTACAATAATTGCTAATATCTCGTGTTTATCTTCATTTATTTTTATTTGTTTGCTTTCCTTAACTTTAATAATCGTTTAACGAATAATTTTTGTATCAATGAAAATTTGAAAATATTTAAAAGAAAAATAAACACAACAAATCATTCGATATAAAATAGTCTAGGTTTGACTCCTATCAAATGATACAACCATTAGATTTGACGAGAGAGAGAGACAGGTACAGTCATTTTTTCAGCAGTTCCGTTACAAGAAAAAACCAATACTGAGACAGCAGCTCAGTTGATTTCAGATCGAGTACAGTGCGTCAAGTACAAAAATCAATACTAAAAAAAACCCTATTCGGATTACCATTAGTATCAAAAGCAAACCATATTCATTATTTAAGACGATAATGTGATCGTAATTATAGTGATATTTGTTATCGGTCAAATTTAGTTGTAAAAAAGGTGTCAATTATACTCGAACAGTATAAATGAATTAGTAAATTTAATATCATAACTATTGGCGAAAATCATTTGACCTTGATTAAACTCTTGAGCATTTATTGATAATTCTCGAGTAAACAGCTCTGTCACTCAATTCGATATTCTGGCATGTATATTTACTATACATAGGAAAAAATCTTCCTTCATAATTATTAATTTTATAATCTCCTATTTACGTCTTAGTACAATCATCCATATGAATAATAAAAGATTTTTTTTTTCAGAAAAAAAATTTTGTTTTTTTAGTATTCACAATATCAATTATTGTATCATGTTTGCGGAACGTTTTAATAAATTCTGTCGGAATGAGTTCCTTTTTTTTCGTATTTTTCAACGAGAAAGAACAGAAGCATACAGAAAAATGTTATTTCAGCATTATTAAGTGTTCTCTGCCTGTACATAACAAGCGATGACAGAAAAATTATTGTTCGATATATATATATACATTCAAGGTGAATAAGAATATTTGATTTATTGGGTATTATATAAAAGGTATAAGAATCAAAGAAAGTTATAAACATTCAACAGAATGTTTATAATCAAGCCAGTAATAACCTTGTTTCTTATCCTAATGCCATCAATGGTAGTGATGCGTGCTACACATTCTATGTATGGTTCTCCACGTAAGTAGAAAAGAAAAAAAACCAATGGGATAATTTTAAAGATAATTATTTTAAATTTATAGATATGGACAAACAATGTGATAAAACAATTACACTCGATGGTGATACATTACCGGGTACATATTTTAGTTTAACATCCAATAAATATAAGCAAAATTTCAATTGTATATTAACAATCAAAGGGTCAACAGTAAGTCAACGAATTATTATTGTTATTGATCGTATGGATATTGCATGTGGTGGTGATAAATTATTGATTTATGATGGACATAGGGATCCAAAATCATTATTAAATTTGGATGAAAAATTTCAATGTGGAACGAAACAATATTATCTTCGAGTAAATTGATTTTTTTTCTAATTATCGAAATATTTTTTTTCTTTAAATAATTCTTAGACACCAAGTACAAATACTGTAATAATTGAATTTATTTCTAATAATGATGGAAAAGTTGGGAATGGTTTTGTTCTTAATGTTGCAATCAATTTTCGTATGTGATTAGTTTATTTTAATTAATATGAAAATAAACTTTGTAAAAAAAAAATTTTTTTTCTTTCTATAGCTGTTTCTACATGTTCACGAATTGATAACCTTTATCGATGTAAAAATCTTTATTGCATATCGAATATATTTAATTGTGATGATCGAAATTGGTGTGGAGATAATACTCAAAAATTTGTATGTTGATAAATTTTATATCAAAAAAGAAAAATAAATTTCTATCAACGACATGTTTTTTTTGTTATTCCTTTTATTTTTATGTACTAGTTTTATGTATAAGAAAATAAAAATAAAATAAGTATAACTTACGGGTTTCGTCGTCAAATAATAATTGTAATTTTTTACGTATACTATTATTATCATCTGCCATAGGTTATTGATATGATTTATTCCTGTTTTTACTTCGTTAAGATGAAATATTCAATCAAGACAATGATCTCATTAGACATAATACTGTTACATATTCTTTATATACTGGATATATAAGAAAACGTCTTTCGTTTCCATAACATTGTTATCGTATCTTCAAGTGTAGTTATAGAAGTGGCAGCAGAAACGGAGAGAGGTTAGAACATTGTTTTACTGACAGCAATAATAAGTATGGAGGCGGACGAATAGTAATAGGGAATGTTTTTGCACGCGGCCGAATATACGATAAACTAGCTCTATAGACGTATATAGCTACTGAGATGAGAATATTTCTTAGATCGCATGTATTGTACTATTTTTCTTCTTCTTCTTTTCTTTCTATCTACCATCATTTATTCTTCATACAAATGTATGCGAGTGTTACTATTCTTGCAAGCAGCTACAAAATACATATGCCAGTGGCGATGGAAAGAACAAAAATGACCAAAGAGATAATGTCTTTTCTTTCCTTTGTCTTTATATTTAGCTCAAGACAAGTCAAATAGTTTACATGTTGTTTAGACACATGGGAAAAAGACGTAAAAGAAATCATATAACAAAGCAAATATAATTTAATTAAAGTTCACCCTAAAAAAAAAAGAAAAGAATATTTCTATTGATAATTTTCATAACAAAAAAATATGATAACTACCATAGCTAATTTTCGTTTAAGTTCCATCATACGTAAAAGATCTCGCCAATATTTTA